AAATCCATAGAATGAGACGACATACAAACAGGGATAGAGCATTAAGAGCAATGTTTGTACAGAAAGAGGGGCGGGGAATGGGAAGGTCAGTGCGGATATATAAATACGCAGTATAGTCAGTGTGTGCACATAAAGGTGCACGACAATTGATTTGTGAATGGGATTGGAGAAGGGACAATGTCTGTATAGAGAGGCGGTTCAGCTGCTGTTTGTATGGGATTGGAGAAGGGGCAATGTCTGTATAGAGAGGCGGTTCAGCTGCTATTTGTATGGGATTGGAGAAGGGACAATGTCTGTATAGAGAGGCGGTTCAGCTGATGTTTGTATGGGATTGGAGAAGGGGCAATGTCTGTATAGAGAGGCGGTTCAGCTGCTGTTTGTATGGGATTGGTGAAGGGGCAATGTCTGTATAGAGAGGCGGTTCAGCTGCTGTTTGTATGGGATTGGTGAAGGGGCAATGTCTGTATAGAGAGGCGGTTCAGCTGCTGTTTGTATGGGATTGGTGAAGGGGCAATGTCTGTATAGAGAGGCGGTTCAGCTGCTGTTTGTATGGGATTGGTGAAGGGGCAATGTCTGTATAGAGAGGCGGTTCAGCTGCTGTTTGTATGGGATTGGTGAAGGGGCAATGTCTGTATAGAGAGGCGGTTCAGCTGCTGTTTGTATGGGATTGGTGAAGGGGCAATGTCTGTATAGAGAGGCGGTTCAGCTGCTGTTTGTATGGGATTGGTGAAGGGGCAATGTCTGTATAGAGAGGCGGTTCAGCTGCTGTTTGTATGGGATTGGTGAAGGGGCAATGTCTGTATAGAGAGGCGGTTCAGCTGCTGTTTGTATGGGATTGGTGAAGGGGCAATGTCTGTATAGAGAGGCGGTTCAGCTGCTGTTTGTATGGGATTGGTGAAGGGGCAATGTCTGTATAGAGAGGCGGTTCAGCTGCTGTTTGTATGGGATTGGTGAAGGGGCAATGTCTGTATAGAGAGGCGGTTCAGCTGCTGTTTGTATGGGATTGGTGAAGGGGCAATGTCTGTATAGAGAGGCGGTTCAGCTGCTGTTTGTATGGGATTGGTGAAGGGGCAATGTCTGTATAGAGAGGCGGTTCAGCTGCTGTTTGTATGGGATTGGTGAAGGGGCAATGTCTGTATAGAGAGGCGGTTCAGCTGCTGTTTGTATGGGATTGGTGAAGGGGCAATGTCTGTATAGAGAGGCGGTTCAGCTGCTGTTTGTATGGGATTGGTGAAGGGGCAATGTCTGTATAGAGAGGCGGTTCAGCTGCTGTTTGTATGGGATTGGTGAAGGGGCAATGTCTGTATAGAGAGGCGGTTCAGCTGCTGTTTGTATGGGATTGGTGAAGGGGCAATGTCTGTATAGAGAGGCGGTTCAGCTGCTGTTTGTATGGGATTGGTGAAGGGGCAATGTCTGTATAGAGAGGCGGTTCAGCTGCTGTTTGTATGGGATTGGTGAAGGGGCAATGTCTGTATAGAGAGGCGGTTCAGCTGCTGTTTGTATGGGATTGGTGAAGGGGCAATGTCTGTATAGAGAGGCGGTTCAGCTGCTGTTTGTATGGGATTGGTGAAGGGGCAATGTCTGTATAGAGAGGCGGTTCAGCTGCTGTTTGTATGGGATTGGTGAAGGGGCAATGTCTGTATAGAGAGGCGGTTCAGCTGCTGTTTGTATGGGATTGGTGAAGGGGCAATGTCTGTATAGAGAGGCGGTTCAGCTGCTGTTTGTATGGGATTGGTGAAGGGGCAATGTCTGTATAGAGAGGCGGTTCAGCTGCTGTTTGTATGGGATTGGAGAAGGGGCAATGTCTGTATAGAGAGGCGGTTCAGCTGCTGTTTGTATGGGATTGAAGAAGGGACAATGTCTGTATAGAGAGGTGGTTCAGCTGCTGTTTGTATGGGATTGGAGACGGGGCAATGTCTGTATAGAGAGGCGGTTTAGCTGTTGTTTGTATGGGATTGATGAGGGGGCAATGTCTGTATAGAGAGGCGGTTCAGCTTCTGTTTGTATGGGATTGGAGAAGGGACAGTGTCTGTATAGAGAGGCGGTTCAGCTGCTGTTTGTATGGGATTGGTGAAGGGGCAATGTCTGTATAGAGAGACGGTTTAGCTGTTGTTTGTATGGGATTGATGAGGGGGCAATGTCTGTATAGAGAGGCGGTTCAGCTGCTGTTTGTATGGGATTGGTGAAGGGGCAATGTATATAGAGAGGCGGTTCAGCTGCTGTTTGTATTGGATTGGAGAAGGGACAGTGTCTGTATAGAGAGGCGGTCCAGCTGCTCTTTGTATGGGATTGGTGAAGGGGCAATGTCTGTATAGAGAGGCGGTTCAGCTGCTGTTTGTATGGGATTGGTGAAGGAGCAATGTCTGTATAGAGAGGCGGTTCATCTGCTGTTTGTATGGGATTGGTGAAGGGGCAATGTCTGTATAGAGAGGTGGTTCAGCTGCTGTTTCTATGGGATTGGAGAAGGGACAATGTCTGTATAGAGAGGCTGCTCAGCTGATGTTTGTACGGAGAGACTGGGTGGTGGCTGTCGACTTAGAGAGGGGTAGTATAAAGAGAGAGGTGGAACAATAATTGTATGTACAGAGAGTGACAAAACGATTCTAGTTTGTACAGACACGGGGAAAATGGCGAATAGTCTGTACAAACATGGTCGTGGTCTATTTCTCTCTATAATCAAATTAACGTATAACGTTAAGCTATACAGCCCAACAGTTGTGCATATATATATATATATATGTGGGGCAAAGAAGTAGTTCCAACAGTGTGGACAAGTTTAGATTGTCAACTTTTCGGAGCGATCCGCTCCTTTTTCAAGACACAGTGAAACAGAACAGTTACATGCACATATACATCATATTAGAAGAAGATAGTATTGATATACTTTAATTGAAAATATAGTTATTATATATATATAGATATATATATATTATATATAATAAAAAGGGATTAAATGTCCATGTGAAGGAAGTAAATATAGAAAAAAAATAGATTAACGACCGACTAAAACACTAGCTGCTACGTCGTGACGTCACAATTACATGTCATCACACTACAATAGTAACGTGACGTCACGAAATTTAATGTATTACCTTTGTATCAACTATTTTCATCAGACACTATTTTAAGAGAAACGAAAGAAGACCAACTAATCAAAATATTAAAACCAAGTCTCAACAGGCCACAGTAAAATTTTACGACAAATTGTCCACCAATCGTGACGTCACGTTACTATTGTAGTGTGATGACATGTAATTGTGACGTCACGACGTTGTTCTTTTGAATAAACCTGAAGAGCCCTGTGAAGGGTGAAAGCAGCTAGTTTTTTAGTCGGTCGTTAATCTTATTTTTTCTATATATATATATATATATATATATACAGAGCAGCATACGGTAAACAAATAAAAAACAACACACATACAAACCTCTTCCGTACTTACGCCTTGAAGTGTAGAGACATATCTTGCACTTCCAAGAAATAAAGTACTTAAAAATATAACCATATTTCATAAGGACATATTTCTAAGCTAGAATCTGTATAATAGAGACAATAAGGAACGGAATGTTAAAGAAGTAAAACATCAGTTAAATTAGGAGTTGCTATATGTTTTCTACCTTGTCTCAAGTGCTATAGCCAAATACGTGTTTCGCATATTTAACTATTGACAGTATTTTCAGGTGTGTCCATATACCACCAAGTGAGAGGACCTATATAGGATTTTAACCTGTTGTACAATCCTTTTATATGTTATCATCTATTGTCAATATAATTTGTTGATAGTGAAGGAACGGAATGACCAATGTTTGTTTGGAGAAGGAACGTAGAGAGGGATGGGCCAGATGTTGCTTGATACTGGGCTGGTTTAGGGATGCACACATCAAAACAGAAAGGGACTATACTATCGTCGATTCCAGACTAATGAAACAACGTTATATCCTTCAAAACAGTTTCAAACATGTAGCGCGATATAGGTAAATTGTGTGATCCGTTTCTGTGTGAATATAGGCCCACGATTTCGTAATACTGAGTGATTGCTCATCCCAGTGTTTGAGCTTCCCGCCGTCCGTCAACAATTGCAGATTCTAATTACACTTTCAACTCTACACCTCCAAATTAATATTCTCAGGAAGCTCGTAGACTCGAGAAATACCTTACTAAGAAAGGGGAGACTATATTTAGCCCTGCTAGAAAGTTATTGCTCCTCTCGGACAGTAAAGGGCGCTATCTCAGGGAGAATTCCCGCACCATTAGAGTCGACCATGCTAGTATTAAATGGTTATTTAAAAGCGGAAGACGGGGATCTGAAGGAGTGGATTTCATTAAAAGCAGTCTCCAACGGGGTAGTCTCGGGTCTGAAGGTCTAGTCTTATTTTGGCACGGGACATGCGACATCACCATCAGGCAAGGAAAGTTTATATTCTCCCGGTATGAGGACCACGAAACTGACTTGTTAATATCGAAAACACGAGAACAGTTCACTAATGTCAAACAAGCAGTGGAAGCCCGTAATCTTTATATTGTATTTATCGAGGCCCCACCAATCTCGGTGATAAAATGGAACAGACTTCGTGACTACACACGTCTGGATGCACAAATAGAGCCGAATGATGACCATGAAGTCAATGCACTTGTGCAATCCTACAACAGTGTAGTAAGGGAGTTCAACTCCATGACCGGCTTTATATCACCGAGATTTGACAAGGAGAGATCGAGATCGACAAAACGACAACATAATCAACTTTCGACAACTCGATACAGCATCAACTTCAACCTGTTACCAGACGGAATACACCCATCAGAACTTATAGCTAAATATTGGCTACTCAGAATACTAGAAAGAGGAACTGAATTTCAAAATGAACACTGTTGACTTTGTTATAGACTGTCAGTAGCTGGTTTATAGCTAGGATTGCCTTGCTTTCCCATTAAGTTACTGTCAATTCTTGACAAGTCAAAGTAAGCATGGCTTAGCTAATCCTAAACCCCGTTTCCAACTTACCGGTGCATCTAACTCAAACGATGAGGATATCATCGCAAACCTAAGTAAGAGGCTGAGACAGGCATCAGGAGAAGAACTCATCTTTTGTAACAAATGTGACATTCAACTAAAAAAGGGCTATGGAATGTGATGGCTGTAAAATATATTATTGTTTGGGATGTTCTTAAACTGACGAGGCTGTGTACAACTACATCATCCAGGTTAAAAATCAACAATCTTCGATGGACCTGCACCAGCTGCACTAACACCATTCCCACTCTGGAAAAAATTGATAGTACTCCCCAAAAATTACAAGATGTAAATGAAGCTAGGATGAGCTGTCATGAAACAAAGTTTGAAATCAAAACTAATAAGGAAATGGACACCATAATTGAGTCAGCCAAAGTTGACATATTAGGTAACATCAAGAAAGAGGTCAACAAAATGGTGGATGAAAGATGTGGCGAATAAGAGGACAGACAGAGAAGAGACACTAATATTGTTATTTTCAATGTACCAAAGGGAACTGATAGCGACAGGAAGGCAACCAATGTTAAAGATAAAACAGATATTCAAAGCCTTTGTATCAGCATCAGATTACTCGATGTCGACACCACAGTCCACTTCCGCCTGGGAAAGTGTTCAAAGGAAAAGTGCAGACCCATTAAAATAGTGCTTAACAACAAAAGGCAGAAAAAAATCCTGCTAGAGGCGGCAAAAAACATCAAAACCCTGGCCCCGCAACACCTTAACAGGGTTATAATTAACAAGGACTTAACAAAATAACAACAAGCCGATAGAATAAAACAAGAAAACACAACCACCACAAAAGGTGGATTCGGACCCTACCCCCCAAGCTGTGGATTCGGATCCTACCCCCCAAGCTGTGGATTAGGAACCTACCCCTCAAGCTGTGGATTCGGACCCTAACCTCCCCCCCCCCCAAGCTACAGCCAACGGTGTGATTAGCCAAATCGGCAGCCCTAGTTCACTAGAGGACCATACAGAACCAAAAACATTGGCTGATGATACTATGATGGATATTGACAATACCATCCTAAATCGGGGTGGTCATCTCAATTCCTTCGGAAATGAGGACCTCACTTAAATCTACAGCCAGGAAACATAACTGAACAACTTGGGTTATCAGAACTCCAATGTTTGCCCCAGTGTCACCCGAAGTGAACAGAGAATAGGAACACGGTTTTATCAATTGTACAAAGAGCTTGTAGATTATCTACGCAAATGTGGACACTCTTTCCAAAACAAAACTTGAAATATGTCTGAATGACATGAAAGTCACCCCATCATTCTGTATGATCATTTTCCGATAAATCATTGACCAAGCTACAACGGATATATTTCCATTTGTCAATCAAAATAGTAAACAATTACCAGGTGTAAATACATACATGCTGTTCAGGTAGCCATGGCAACACAGGGAATTAATAGGAAAGCATGTCGCAAATATAACGTTACCGTTGACCGACACCTCGAATACGGGGAGATCTGCGCGCTGACACGGTCACCTGGCATGGACAGAACAGGTATTGGAATATAACGATGTTGTTTTCACAATAATAAGTTTCAGAAAGATTCAATCTTATATACGAATAAACCCTATACTATTTTTTGTTATGAAATACACTTTTCCAAGTAGTTTTCTGATCGTCTGCAAATCCGACTGAATCGGTCATCGATATCGGGGAAATGTGTACTGTACGCTTAAAGGCAGTCACTCCGACGAGGACCGCCAACAGCCACTTCGCAAGACATGAAGAACACCAAACAATTGTGATATCAGCAATTCTCCCTCGAAAAGAAAAGATCGGAATGTATTTTGCTGCTCTGAACCCGTTGATATTTAATTTTCAAACTCAAACTTTTATCATTATCGGTTCAATTCGCATGGATGTCATTTGTAAATTCCTGCCGGTTATTAGTATCACGCAACTTCGACTCTTTGCGACCTACACAAACTTGCTAACTTCGCCACTTTACCCGTGTCGTTTTGACACATTCCTACGGACAAGATTGAAGAGTTCAGCAACATTTTACCCAAGAACGACATTTTAACCACAGAGTAATAAATCCGATGCAATTCTTCGTTATGTTTCCCGATACGTGGTATTTATCAATTCACAACGTAACGTCCTGAAAAGTTGAGCCTACTTTACTCGAGTTTATTTATCCGATTCTATAGTATTAATTGACTTAAACTTGCAACTTTTCGTAATTGTTAAATTGACAATGCAATCAGGGATTATTCAACGAAGTTTAGCAGTTGTATTGCTGTTAGCATATATCAAAACATTTCCGAAAATCCTCGAAAAATTTACGAGAAATGGTCGCGACCAAGGACTGGTTTTGGATTGTTCTTGAGTATCGTGTACACCCCTTTCTTAACACTTCATTTTCCCCTGAAAAAAAGTGCGCACTATTCGCAGATATTAACGGTAGTCGTTGGTCAGACATGAAATATCTAAATCAGTCAATAGCAATTTATAATACGACAGTTTGCCCCTTCGGGAACCTCAAAGGTGCCTGATTCATACTCGGAACATATTCAGGTTATATGTAATTCCCGTGGGGAATTTAAAACGCCTTTAGGTTTTATGATATTGTTATGCCGGATGGCTGGCTGTGTTCTTCAATAACAACACAAAGATCGTCCGAGTTTTCAGTGCAACCTTTTAATGGCGGTAAAACTCAACGAACCCCGGATAACGTGCTTCCGCGTCTAACATCAAATCCGGGGACCGGACCCCGATTTCCGGAAGAGGTAAATCCGCATTACACCACCCCCTTCCAGGCTCCTTTAGCTCCTGCTAAAGGTCAAGCTTGGTAGGCTGCTTATATGCCCGGCCGTAACGCGAGGACCGGGATGGTTCATCTGAGATGGTTCGCTGTGAACACATCCCAGTTGGCACAGGTGTCTTTGGCTCTTCCTCTGGTAAACTGGCTTTCAGCGATTGTTGGCTGTTCTGCGACTCGTGGTGGTTTTCCTCTGTCCCGAACTTCTTATCCATGGTTGGAAGATGGTCTTCCTCAGCAATCGTTGGGAGAGAGGAGGTACCAAGATCATGCTTTATCTTGGTAACCCAGGCCGGGATGACCTCAGACAAATATTGTTTTAGCCGGTCATGGTGAAGAACTGAAGCCTTCTTGCGGCCACGGACCTCATACACGACCGGACCAAATTTCTTGGTGATCACAAAAGGACCATTCCAAACAGATTGGAGTTTCGGAGATTGTCCAACAGATCGTGATTGGTTCTTCACGTATACAAGATCCCCGACGTGGTACTCTCTTCCCCTAGCCCGTAGATCATATACTTTTTTCTGATGTACCTTTGAAGCCCTCAATGTTTTCCTAGCTAATTCCTCTGTAATGTGCATACCCTCTAACATCCGGTCGAGGTAGGTGGGTGCGTCATCAGAGGAACGCGAAATATCCGGATCCATGTAGATCAGCTCGGGAGGAGAATGGACCTCCCTACCCAGCATCAACAGGTTTGGTGTAAATCCTGTCGCAGGGTGTGGCGTACTTCGATAAGCAGACAGAAGAAGGGGAATGTTCTCATCCCAATGCGCCTGGCCATGATCTAGATAACACCTGATCATCTGCAACAGCGTGCGGTTAAACCGCTCAACCTGACCATTAGATGAAGGGTGATAGGGCGTAGTCCTGGTTTGTGCGATTCCGAGTAACCGGCATACTTCCTTGAACAGGGCGCTTTGGAAGTTTCGTCCTTGATCCGTGTGGATCTCCAGGGGTACGCCAAATCTAGAGATGAACTCCAGGACCAGTTTTTTTGCTGTCGTGTTACTGTCCTGTTGTGTGATTGGGTAAGCCTCGACCCACTTCGTGAACTGGTCGATGATGACAAGTATGTATTTGTTCCCAGCATCACTAATAGGAAAAGGCCCCACGACATCCAATTGTATCCTGTCCATTGGCGCTCCGCAGATGTAGGTCTGAAGAGGTGCTCTCATAGTTCTACTACTCTTCTTTTCAGCGGCACATACATGACATTTCCGAACAAATATGCTCACATCCATCGACATGTTGTGCCAGTGAAAGTCTTTCTTCACTCGTTCCAGAGTTCTCTTCTCCCCTTGATGACCGGAGTAAACAGCTTCATGACATGCCTGCATGATCTCTTTTCTCATCTGGAATGGAACCAGGAGTCGCAGTGACTCCTGTCCATTTGCCTCCCACTGGTAGTAGAGAACATCGTGTATCAGTTTGAACTGCTGAAGGGTTAGTAGATACTTCCGCAGAGCAGGACTTCTTGCTTGCGCCTCACCCAGAGGAACTGTCTCGCTGTTGGCCACACATGAATACAGTTGTTTTAGATCCTCATCTTGCATCTGTTCTTCGTGAAGTTCCATCGGACTTTTGGTCTGTAGCCAGTTACATTGAGGAATATCGTCCTTCGTATTAGAGTCCTCTCCGGTCTCAGAGTGTTTTTCGACAGCAGTTACCTCCGCCGAACGAACAGCTATAGGCACAATATCGTCAACATCCTCCTCGAATCTTTCCCACGCAGTCTGTAGTTTTGCACAGTACATACATCCTCCACAGGGTAGAGTTTCAACGGTGGCACCCGCGAAGTAGCAAGGGCACGAATCGTGATCCGGAATCCGTGACATGGCATCAGCGTTCACATGCAGCTTCCCAGCACGGTGTTCGATGTCAAAAGAGTATTGACTGACCTCCTCTAGCCATCTCGCCAGCTGTCCCTGTGGTGACTTGAATCGGAAAAGCCATGACAAACTGCTATGGTCTGTGCGTAATAAGAACCTCCGGCCAAGAAGATAATGTTTGAAATGCTGGCAGAAAGCAACAACTGCAAGAAGTTCGCGTCGTGTCACACAATATTTCTCCTGTGCAGGGGTCAGTCTTCTACTTGCATATGCAACAACTTTCTCCTCCCCATCTTGGACTTGCGAAAGAACGGCGCCTATACTCCTGTTAGAAGCATCCGTATCTATGACAAATTTGCAATTCTCCAACGGGTATGACAATATCGGAGCAGTGGTAATTGCCTTCTTCAGGGCCTCGAATGCCTCACACTGACGGTCTTCCCATACAAATTT